TTCCTCATCTACATTCTGAATAGTAGGGGGAAGCACTTGCTTTAAAGCATTTAGAGGTAAGTTTTAAAAATGCTTCTGCAAATCAAGTCAGCCTCAACGGTTTACAGAGAGTGCAACATTCTATAAAATATTTATCATGTTTGTGTTGGCTAGTTTTAAACAGCTGTATATATGGTGATTTGATGTTGCTGTTAGAAAATGGTGAGATTAGGAAGCCGAATATTTTTTGGCTCCTTGGTTCATACTTTGTCTGCCAAAAGGAAAAGGATGGAATAGTTGTTGGGGCCAGAGACTTGCCTCAGCTGTGCTGATGTATCCTTAAAAGCTGCTGTCCACCTCTGATGCAAGTTGGTCCATCCCTCTGACCTCACTGAGAAATTGTCAACAAACTTTTCTTCAGTTCACTAAAATATAAATATATTAAGACATTTTAAGGAAGAGATTTGAATGTATCTGAGTGATGAAACAAGGGCCTGGCCTTCGCCACAGGGAGAATCTTCATACAGATCTTGAAGGAGCTCAGTACTGCATTGATGTAACCTTCACAGAACTCTCGCATTTTGGCTTCTTCCTGGATCCCAGCTACTGTGTGATGAAGTTCTAATAAGTGTGTAAAAAGTACAATTGATGAAGTAGATGAACTATTTATTGAAACTTGGGTACTTCAGTACTGAAGTGTTGTGAAGGCTTAAGTTGAATTTAACAGGTTCAGTAGCAATCAGTGTTTGCATGAAGGATAATTCAGAGCTTGAAAGTTTCTGATGCTTGGAGTTTGTTAACTGGTCTCCAGTATAACTTGTAGAGTTTGTGACAGGAGATACTCTGCTCCTTGGAAGCTGAGTTTTAATTTTTTAATAATTAATTTTAAAAGTCCAAGGTAGGAATTTTTTGGATTTTACTGAAGTGTAGGGCAGTTTTTCAGAAAAGTAGTGGAGAAGTGAAAAATTTTGGGTTTTTTTGGAAATGAAATCAAAGAAAATTTACACAGAGGTAAGGTTGGCTTGTATGTGATTTATCTGTGATTCTTCAGGCTCTTCATCAGTATTAACTTTCTCGTTCCTCAGTCCTCACTCTGCATGTCACTTCACAAATTAGTGCATACATTATTTTCATTCAGGGCTTTATTTCAAGCAGACCTAGTCCCAGTATAGAAATGCATTAATCATTTTCACTTGCTAGAGTGAAAATGATTAATGCATCTCTATTTCTCTATTTCTATCTCATTTTCACCTTCATTTTGTCACCTGTCTGTCTGGCTTTTGTTATCTTTCCAGTTTCTCATTCTGAGGATGTGTCATATGAAAACCACCTTAAACTCAGAATACCCTTCCTGTCTCTCTTTTTTCTTCTTACTTACCAGAGTTACTATGAGACTGAAGCACCCTTTCATCCTCCAAAATCTTTGTTCTCACACTTTGCTTCCCTGAATGAGTCTCAAAAGTTTCTTGGGACTTTACACAGCCTGATTGCTGAGTTAGGTCAATATGAAATATACTTAAAGACAATGCTGTATTTTAGAGACAAACTGAAATAACATCCCTATTCCCCCAATTCTCTACTCTGCACTTCCACAGAAACAAGCCTGAAATGGAAATACACTGCAGTGCTTCTTCCACAGACACTTGTGGAAACCCAGACGGCTTCCATATAGCTGTTTAAGAAGCCTTCCTTCTTTTTTATCTTGTCTTAAAGAGATGTATCTTTGAGACCCTAGAATTCCTTCAGCCCCACCAGTGTCAGCAGCCTGTATTGTGCCTGGATGACTGTCAGCCATCTCATAATGTTGGGGATTAATTAACCCCAGGTTTCCATAGAGCACTTCATATCCCTGGTCCTGGAAGTGATGAAGTGGGGTGAAAGAAAAGGGTATTGCCTGTTGTTTTCTTCTTCATAACCCAGCTTAGTGTGTGTGTGCCAATTTTTGCCCTTCTAGCAGGGCACATCCTGTGTAGAGTTTCCTGATTAATATTGCTCTGAGCATCCATGAAATATAAATAACAGTATATTTGGGTTGAAAGGCACCTGCAAGTGTCATCTAGTCTAACTCCCTCCACAAAGCATGTATGAAATGTGAAATTCTTCCCAGTGAAGAGATGCAGGGTATAACTGGTTCCTTTAGTGAAATAGTTCTGCTTTTTCTGTTGTGTTTTTCCAATTTGTATGTAAAGAGAAACAAATCGCAGGATTTTCCCAAATATTTAGATACATACACTCAGGAACAAGAATTCTCTCTCTTTTTTTTTTTTCTTTTTTTTTTTTTTTTTTTTTGCATTTTTTGCATTTTACCACTATCGTTGCAATGGTAATTCAAGAGACAAAAACTTCTTCTGGCTCTCACTGTATCAGTGGAGGTTATAGGCCCCAAAAAATGGTCAAAATAATTTGAAGGCTCTTTCTGGAAAGCAAGTTTGTGATAGATCCTTGATCTTTCCCCTATAATCTTTGATGACAACTGGTGTCAGTTATCTGTCTTGCCTGTGTTTCTATCCAAAATGATTTGAAAGAGTAATTTATGTGGTTCTGAGTAACGTAGAGAAACTTTAAATATGTTGTCATTGAAATTCCTTAGCTGTTGGTAGCTTCTAGTCTGAATCAATCTATTTTGAGAGTGACAGTCCTGACTGATTTTTGCAGAGCTAACAGTCCAAGTCTTTTCCCTCCCCTCCCTTGCAGCCTGCCCTAAATGAACAGATATTATTTGAATTTAATTAACCCGGAAGCCATAAATCCAAGCTGACATTTTTACAAAGTCAGTTTCACAACAGAGCTGTGCATGAGTTAAGTACTTTAGTCTGCTTTAAAATGCTCTGCCTTCAAAGAAACTTTGATACATAAGGATTTTTTTTTGTTAGAAAAATGTAAAATCTACTCATAATTCAGAAATATGTGTTTATAGAAGAGAATAAATTTTTTTATGTATGTTTTTGCTTCTCCCTCACTGAAAAAAAGTTGTCTAATTTCAATAAGAAGTATATTTGTAGTGATAGCTGCGCCTATCACAAGGGCAAGCTAAACTTCAGGACTTAGGGTGAGGTGTTGTCAAAAAGAGCTTATGCAGACTTTTTTGCAAACACGGAGTTTATTTACACAGAGTAGGTTAAAAATGCTGAAGTATTTTAATACAAGTATTAAGATATTCCAAATACGATTACATACATTAGGAAAAGTCAGTTACATCACAATTTTATGGAAAGGCAATTAAATTTTTATTTTTATTTTTTTTTACATTTAGTAAATATTGTCTCTTGACATAGAAATTGGTTTCAGTATTTTTGTTATTCAGGCCACAATGGATAGTATAATAAATTGTTCTTTTTTTCTGCTGTTGTTTTTATGGTCACAAATATCTCTTACCTGGTATGAAAGGTATGCAAAGGACAGAAGGAAAGTGTTTGCAGGTTCATAAATTGAAGGCAGTTGACATGTCTTAGTACAATTGGTGTGGAGAATAGGCAAAGGACTCTTCCTTGTGGGTCTCACATTCACTTAATGTCTTTCTGGTGCCACCTGTCCAAGAGCTTGTGTGGTGGTGTTTGAGGGTCCCCAGGACGAGAAAGAAATGAGAATCTTGACTCCATGTTTCAGAAGGCTGATTTATTATTTTATGATATATATTATATTAAAGAAAATGATATATTAAACTATACTAAAGAAAGAGAAAGGAGACATCAGAAGGCTTAACAAGAATGAGTAATAAAAACCCATGACAGACTCAGAGAGTCCGACACAGCTGGCTGTCATTGGCCATTAATTAAAAACAATTCACATGAAACCAATCAAAGATGCACCTGTTGGTAAAACCATCTCCAGACCACATTCCACAGCCATCAGATAATTATTGTTTACATTTTGTTTCTGAGGCCTCTCAGCTTCTCAGGAGAAAAATCCTAGCGAAAGGATTTTCATAAAATATATCAGTGACAACCTTATGTCTGCTGGTTGGGGTAGGCTACAGCCTACCAGGCAAGGAAGTATTTCAGCTCACTGCTACAATTGCTTCAAGATTCTTTCAGAGAGGGAAAAATAACCTTGCACACTTCTGCCCCAGGTGGAGAACTAGCCCTTGAGGCACAGAGATAGCTCCAGCAGTGGCTCCTGTGACTGCCAATGTTTAACACATCATGTGTTCAAAATTAGTTGTCTTACCTGAGAAGTTTCAGTAAGTCATCACTGAAGCAGAGGAAAATTTGGGAAGTGGCAAGTGAGTGACCAACACTAGCTGTTCTGCTGCTTTCTTAACAAATGATGCTATTGAGTCAATATATTCAGTGTAGTTTTTCCTTGAATAATTTTGAAGCTGTAGAATAGACTGTTTCCATTTAGTTACAGCATTTATTAATTGTTGATAAGTTTGCTGTAGGAGCACAATTTGGTTGTTGCCATGTTTTTCCTGGGCATAGTCCAAAAATCTCTGAAGCTCTCCAGTTAATCTGAATTGGTATTGGGTGTTGGGTCAGGCATCATAGTGAGTTTTTAGCTTTGTGCAAAATGTTTATTTTAATTTGATTTTAATAATTCCTTACAGAACATTTTGTTGTGTTGGCAGCATGTAGCTTGGTGAGTACAAATGAGGTTAACATTTGTCTGTATGATTTAATCACTTACCAAAAAAAAATCCTTTAACAAAACAAAGTTTTGGTCACTGGTGTGTGTGACCATGTGTTAGATCCACCTCTGTTTGTCTGATATCTGACTTCTTAGGCACATGATTAATGTTGTCATGATTGAATCACAGAATGGTTGGAAGGGACCTTAAAGACACCTCATTCCAGCCCCTTCCCTACCATGGCAGGGACACCTTCCATTGGACCAGCATGCTCAAAGACCTGTCCAACCTGGCCTTGAACACTTCCAGAGATGGGCATTATATTCTGGTTGGGATTATTTTCTACAATTCTAAAAATGGCGCACGTGAGACTTTAATTGGTATAATGAAGAACTATTTTCTTATTTTTTTCCTTTTTACATAATTTTGTGAACAGGGGACGAGAGGATAAGTCATGTGCACTACCCTGAGCCCGAAGGCACGAGGGCCTGGCCTCTCCGACATGCACCAGTACAGTCAGTGGCTTGCCAGCAGACATGAGGCCAACTTGCTGCCAATGAAGGAGGATTTGGCCCTCTGGCTCACAAACCTACTGGGTAAGATACAGCAAGATGGAATGCACCTACTGGGCAGTGTGAGAGCTCCTTTCACTGTTAGCTGGGGATTCAGATTTCTTTGTGTTTCAAAAATAAAGTTATGATTACGTAGCTACCGTCATGTAACACAAATATTAGCAAGGTCAGAAAAGCTGAGGACTCATTTGCCTCCATTGTGTTTCTGTGAGTAGCATAACTGAACATTATACATTCTGTGTTTAGCTTTCTTTCAAATTTCCTTTTTTTTTGGCATGTATTTTCTGTACCTGTACCACTAAGCTGAATAATACTAATTGCTGCCTTCACCTATGTCTTCCATTTTTATTGATAGGCCTCCTGCAGAGTATGGTGTAGTGAGTGTTTTGAGCAGAAACCATTTAATAACTCTTTTCTGACCAAGTGGTCAAGTAATTATAATTGCTGCCCAAGGCAATGCATGCTGAGACTTGTGATAGCCTGTGCATAGAGGGGTTTGACCTAGCATAGCTGGGACCTAGAGATTTACTGGTGTGCATCTTGGTGTGTGAAGACAAAGCTTGCTGTTTCCAGAAGAGGATGCAAACCAAAATTGAGGGGGAAAAATCAGGTACATATAAAAAGAGCAAATGAGATTGTTCCTGGCAAGAAGGAAAGAGATGTGCAAATTATTCAAGAAGGTGGAATTTAGAAATTATGAGCTAGGAAATAGTATGTTGTTTCCTGAGAACACTCAGGGAAAATATTTTTTATGTGATCTCTGTAAATACAGAGGCTACTACCAAAGAAATAGATGACTTAGAGAATACCTCATTAAATAAAGAGAAGAAAAATATTTCAGAAGCTATGTTTACATGAAACTTTAGTTGATGGGATTTTGGAAGAAAATTTGGTGTGCATGGTTTTGGAGGATTTATTTAATTTAAAAAAAATTCTGAAAATCTGTTCTGGTGAGATGTGGGAAGTGTCTTGTCATGGCAAATGCTGTAGTTAAACCATCTCAGTGATACCATACAGTAACAGAGTATATCCAGTGTCTTTCATCAGCACATTCTATATTGCTTTATTTCCTCTTTTTTAAGAGAAAGAAAAGGAAATATCGGTTATGTTATAACAGATGTGATCAATAAGCACAATGTCAATAGAACACAATATCTTGCAGGTTTACAATACCTATTTTTAAGTTGAGTTATGAATCCACAACTGGAAAAGTGGCAGGTGTTTTAAATTATTTATTTGTATGGTACTTCCATTTAAATTAATGTGTTTTGAATATAAAATTGTCTATACAAAACCAGAACAAAATTCAGAACTTTTCATTCCAATTATCTCAAGACAGTAATCCAAGTGACTGTTTTTTGAATTGGAAGCAGCACATTCCATTAAGGATTAAATATATTGTTTAAATGTTTTGAACAATGAAGTTTTAGTGATCCACTCAAGAACAAATAGAAGATTGCTTGCAGTTTGTAACAGAGTTCTCCCAGTGATAAGTTTAGGAATGAGGTCACTCTTTGAGCAAGAAAGTAGCAACCAGCAGGAGGTTCTGAAATGCCAACTGTAATTAAATATCTGATTTTTCATATGGACACCAAGTTCTGCACTGCAGGACTAAATGGGCACAACCTTCTTTTAATTAAGCAGTGTATACAGTTCATTTGCTTAATGCATTCCCCCACACCTTCTTGCACCAAGCTCTCCTTTTCTCAGCGTTTGTGCTGATGAATTGAAATTATAGTGTTTTGTTAGAGTGCTTTGAATCCCTATGTAGACATTGTTATTCAAATTAATAATTCAATCAAATTAAAATTCACATTCAAAATAAATGAGGTGTGAATTAAAATAATTATTCATAAGAGTATATTAACTCAGAATTCAAATTTTGTTTAATTACTGCATAATTTGGATAAACTTTAAATAGAGAAGATATGTGTGAGGATGCTGCTGTACAGTAAAATAGCATGCATTTTTCAGCATCCAAAAGGATAGAAGAATATGGAAGGCTTTTTTTCTTTGTTTTGGGATTTTTCCTGTGTATGTGGAAGAAGCAATGTATTTTGAATTAATGGTCAGTAGATCTTTACATGCATAGATATGCAAGTAACATGGAGCAGATAATACTGTGTGTATCCACGTCCTAGCTTGCTCTGTCTGTGACTTCTGTGGCTTCATGTGAGTGGCCTTCTTGCAGTTTTCATGCAATAAGATTCCTCAATTCATAAAGGAAATTAATATGCATTTAATTTAATTTTTGCTGGTTTGTTTCATTTATATTTTGTCATTCATCTGTACTAGGACTCAACAAGGACACATAATATTTTCAAATAAATATAGATTTAAAAAATAGTATTTTAGGCAAAGACAGGGCTGAAACTCTTTGAGGTAGTTTGATCAAGGCATGGTTTTTTAGGAGATTTTTTTGGAGAGACAGTTATGTTCTGTACACTGTTACTGGAAGTTGGAATGGTGTTGGTTTTGCAGCAGCATAGCCTGATGCGGGTTCAAAACCAAGCTGGGAAACATTATTGGGATGTTGCACTTTATAATAGGAATGAAGTGCTTTGATATCAGATAGAAAGCAGGAATAGCTAGAATTTGACCTTTCCCAATTGATAAATTAGAAAAGTGAGATACATGGTGCAGCTGGAAAATAACATTGGAAGAATTTTTAATCCTGAGACTTTGCATCTTTAATTTAGCATGGACATTGTTGTGGGGGTTTTTGTTTAGTAATCACCAGTACTTTTGTGTGCACTTTGCTAATTATTTTTTGGAACCATGTCAGAGAAACTCAGAGCTTCTGAGAGGACAGTTCATCTTTACAGCTCCATTGCTGAATAGATTTTAGCTGTCTGGGGGATGGAAAAAGGACATTGCAGATGAAATCCATGTGTCAGATAGGATTAACTCATATGCTATTGTACCTTAGAGCATTTTCAAAGCGGGACATGTCAGTGTTGTGGTTTGTCTGCTGGAAAGGAAGATGGTAGCCATGGATGTTGTGTCTCTTGTCCTTGCTTCACTCTGTTGAGCTTTGGTGTCTCAGTCAAGAGTGGCAGTGACAAAGATAACAAGATGTGTTAATCTAGCTGATTTACAAGTCATAATGATCTCTGAGCCTTGTTTCTATTAGGTATAGAGCTGGTGAAGCATTTGGGAATGCTTTCACTTCTGACAAACTCCAAATTTGGTAGATTGTATGTATACTTTAGTAGAATGTTCTTGTGGACACTGAAAAAGTTATATTCCACCCTGAGCAAGCTGCATATGGGAATTAGCACACTTGGGCCACAGAACTCTTCTAGTAGAGGCAAAATGACAATTTGAAAGATTTGCTTGTCTGCTTTACTCTCTAGTAAAGCAGAAGCAGAATGGCTGACATGAGGAGGAGAGGGCCTCCTCGCCAGCCTGTAGTTTAGGACAGGTACAGAGAGATGGTTTCCCTTTTTCGTCTTGGGCAGTTTTGTGGACCTCTAATCTTTTTCCCCATTCCCAGAGGTTATTTACAAGCTGCTGAGGGTTATATTGTCTTTTTATTCCATCCAGCTTCATTTAGCACATGGGACTGACTACACCTCAGGCATATGTTGGGTTCCAAGGTTTCAGTCCTGAGCCCTGTTAACAGAAGAGGGCTTCAGAAGCTCATAGCTGAGGGGCCAGGGAATGCAAGATGCTGAGAAATTGGACATGTAAATATTGAACATTGTTTGATGCATGTAAAAGTTGCTTGGGTGCAAAAGTGAAGGAGGCTTGGAGGAAAGGAACAGAGGTGAGGATTTTAGGAGAGGCATCAAGCTGAAGACAAGGCTAAGTATTTGAAGGAGGTGTATAGTTTGAAGTTGGAGAATGATGAGTCTTCTGCAAGAAAACTGTCTTTCTTTGATTCTGAATTAAATCTGTGTCAGCTTAGTGTTCTTGCTCACCTTGTTGCCTAAGAGCATTCTGTAACAGAATGTGTATTTTCAACTTCAGTTTGTTCAGATTGATCCAGTGGGAAATACAGGTTTTAATTGTCTGAATATCAAGATATTCACAGTACTGATACCTCCAGTGATTCTACTGGCACTGATATAGTTTTTTACTTAGTTGAGTTGCTTTATAATTTTTTTATTATCAGCACGCATTTGAAATTTTTTATGTCCCATTTCAAGTAAGTAATAATGTCTCAATGCTTTCAAAATTATTTCTCCTACTCTCAATTATTGTAGGCAACAGAGCAGTCTTATCAGAAAAGAACCAGCTTTGTATATGCATAGTCATTGGCCTTGGTTTTCTTTATTTTTATCACATTTTGTTTTCTTGCATTTATATGCCATGTGAATTGAGAGGGTCAGGAGCAATTGTTTCAGTAGGGCCTCAGTATTGTAGATGTTTCAGAGATTTACTTGAGTGAAATATTTCTATTTGTAAACTACTAGTATTGTGTTACCACACAAAATATGCAATTAAAATAGTCCATCAGCAAGTTGTGAGGCTGGAGTCAGTCTTGCCCTGTAGTTATTACCCCAAGTGTGATAGAGGAATTGACTAGAATTGGGTACCTGGGTCTTTAGGTCCATCTCTTCTTCTGAATGTCTGAGACCTGAAATGAAAACTTTATCTTCAACCTCTTGGGCACACACGCAAGACATGAACTCTCCCATTATTTTTTCATGGACCTCCAGTCTGGTTTTATGGGGTCCCCCAGCACTGGGTGACCTTACAGATAGTTGCTCACAGTTTCCAAGTGGTTCAGGTGCATCTGTTTGACTTTTTGAGGGGACTTTTTCTGGTGGTTGTGGTAAAAGAGGGGGTAGGAAGCCCTTAAGAGGTTTCTGAAATCCTTCGTATTCCTGGATTTTCTTCTCATACTTGCAGTGTTGTTTTTTTATTATACTTGATGTTATTACTATTCTATAAAAACATTGCAACTGCTTTCTGGTAATTGTAGGGGGAGTTGTACATTTTTAATGGAGTTTGATGTTTTTTCCACACAAATACATGGAGCGGTTTTTTTCCTCAGGTTATGAACATTACTCTTACTTGAATCAATACATTTCTACTGTTTAATATGTCAGCATGTCTGTTTCAGCAAAGAAATGCCACCTTATGAAGCCATAAAATACAGTGAACTGAAAGCTGACACCTAATATACTTTTCATTGGAGACAGATGTTCAATGCAAAACTCATTCTTTCAGATTTCATAAAGGCAAATAGAACTCAAATAATCCAGTTTAGTGTACAATATGCAGTGACCAAACTGCTAATGCAATTCAGCATTTAAAATAATATAAATATATTGTTCAATAGCAGAAGAAGATAACCAATTTTTTTTAGATCTTTCTAAAAAGAAAATATCGATAAATGAGTTTTAAGGGTTTTATAACATTCAATTATTATGAAATGATGCATCTGTATATCATAGAACAGAAGAATTATGTAGAATGTGGGGGGGTTTGCTTGTGTTTGTGAGAAAATTATGTGTTGCAAAACAAAATAAAAATTTGTAGTCTGTTAAAGATACTTGAAATAAATTTTTTAGAAGAGGAGTGTATTATAAAAATTAATACTCAAGCAGTTCCTGAAGCATAGTTATTTTTAAAATTTAGCTTTCTAGTGGCTTTAGAGCATTTTATAAAAATGCTGATGGGGCAAATGGGAAAATATGTAGGCTAGAATGGTGGCAAAGTCTTTTGAGATGCTGAGCTGTTCAGGTTTTTTATGTCTGGGCTATTATAGTTTCATTCCTGGCTTCATTTAATCTGGAGATATGGCAAAAATATTATCAGTTAGGCATAAGCTAACTGCCTGTCTGCAGTGCTGCTACTGCTCTTTTGCCTGGAGAAGTCATTTATGCATACAGGAGCAATAAAGTGGGCTACATGGCAAACAAAATCAAGTGGGAATAAAACAGAAAATCTTCATGTTAAAAAGATATTTCTGAAGTAAAATGTGATAGACAAAAACAAGGTTAGCTTCAATGAAAAACAGAAGTGTGCTGTATCTGAAGATGGTTTGCTGCAACAATCTTTATAATTTTTATCTTAACCTACCAAACTGGTTTTGCCCAAAAGATGCTAAAGTATCTCAAAGTTTTCAGACAAAGGCCTAGAAAAGCCAGCTTTCCTATAGCATTTTTAAATCTTACTGCTTTATAATGCTGCTATATTCAGTATTGTGACATGGAGTATCAGGTTACAGTTTATCAGCAAGAAATTCAGTACTAATGCATATACTTCATTTTTGTTACTTTTGGATGTTATTTTTTCCCCTCTCTTCTTAGCAAAAAGATATGGGAAAGCTTCACTTTTCCTATATTGCTTGACAAGAAATTGCAGTGAACCTGTTCTAAATAGATTAATATTTTCAGTTTACAGACATCTCATGGAAGCAGGAGTGGATGTGGATGGGATGAGAAAGCAGTCTCACTTCAGTTTTTAAATATTCTTCTTTTTTCTTTTTTGGCACATTAGACCGTTGTTGCTAATGCATGCTGTGCAACAGCCTATGAAAAATTAGTTAGTAGTGTTATTTCCTAAATGGCATATTTAAATACTGGAGGAAAAAAAATGCTGTCATCAAGGAATAATTCTTGTTCTTCCAATTATCTTCTCTTGATATGAGTGAAAGTTAAAAGGGCTGAAAATACAGCAGTTCATCAACATAGTGTCCAAAGTAAAGGGAAATATTTCAGTAGGAATGTGAAAATGAAAAACCTTCAATAGGAAATAGGAATATTTTTACTGAAGATTATGTTAAGATCCTGGAAGTTTATTCTGGTATGGTAAATAATTCCCTTCCCATCTGGGGTCAGCATGCAATCTTCTCAAGGCTCATGTGATCTCGTCTTCCAGGGGGATGTGATTTCATTGTTATGCAAACTTGTCTGGGCAGCTATAGAAGAGGGGACAGTTCCTGGCAGCTGAAGTAATGCCATATAGTCTGATATGAGAATTGATATAGTTTAAAAGCAGGGTATTTTAGGTTTGTTCTTTTAGTGAAAATTTTGATCTGTGTGGCAAGTAGATGTATAACATGAAGTTTTACTCTCCATTATTTTGTTATGTACCTAACTTTTCTTCTGAAAAAGAACATTCATAGGAGCATTGCAGTCACTGTCTTCTCTACTTCTTGAAGGATCAAGATTTAAGAGTCTACTAAAAATATACCACCCTTTCCTTTTTGACATGGTTTTCTAATTCTGTTACAAATCAACTCTTAGCAATTCATGCTATAACTGCCCACACACTCTGGTGTAAACCAATTTCCTGCTGTACTCTCTCTTTTAAAACATTATGTTCAAAGCACTGGATTTTCATAAGTAAAGTGAAATATACAGGGTTGGATATGCTAGAACTATTTTTCAAATATCACATGCCTTCCCCAAGAAAGCATGGGGTTTTTTTCATAATTTGCTGTATATCTACCAGTAAAGTAGTATTGAGGTTATTCATAAAATATTCAAAGTAATGCAAGTTTTTCAGTTAAAGCTTTATTCAGTTTTTGGGGTTTGTTTTGGTTTTTTTTTTTAATTTATCTTTTTACTCAAATGCAGTCTATACCATTGCATGCTTTCTGCCATGTTAACTTTCTGTTTAATGTTCAGGTAGAGAAATAACAGCAGAAACCTTTATGGAGAAATTGGATAATGGTGCCTTGCTTTGCCGGCTAGCTGAGACCCTGCAGGAGAAATTTAAAGAAAACAGCTTTGATGCAAACAAGCCTGCCAAAGTAAGTGTTGGTCAATATTCTAGCATTTAATATCAGTATCTGATGTATCCCACCATTTTGGTACTGAGGGTTTTTTTGAACAGTTAAGAGGTTTTATATGTGGAGATTCTGCAAATGGATGGGGAGGAAATTTCTCTGTGTAGAAAAATTGCAATATGAAATTGATGGAAATAATATTTATGTGGTATTTATTTAAGTATCTATGCAAAGCAGTTACTCAAAAAGTACTTGTAATATGTGGAGAAAAAGAATAAACCAGATCTGGCAGTGGGATGTGGTAGGCAATAGCAAAAATATGATCCTTGTATTTATTTTCAAGGGGAATATTAAGTAGCTGTGGGAGGTGTCTTCTCCTCTAAAAACAGCTCTAGGGAGACCAGTAACAAAACTCTATAGTTAGTTTTGGTGCCTTGAGTTCAAAGATCTTGTTCGTGTACTAGGAGAGGTTTCAGTAAAGAGTGGAAGGAATTATATGGGAAACTTAGATACTTGGGAGTTTTGGAAGGATCCATTTAAGGACTTGTTTGAACACAACCTTGCTTTAATTTAAACTATTCTCATGGGACAGTCTTACTGGGCAACATTCAAGAGTGCAGCAAGTTCATTTCTTGGAGAAGTAGAATCAAATGGTTGACACATTAACACATTCAATATGAAACTGTTCTTATATTTTTGGTTGCATTCAGGTACATCTTCCTTGAAAGCTAAAACAGGCAAATAAAGAACAGGTAAAAAAGAGGCCAAGAACAGAAATCACTTAATCCATTTTCTGCTCTTGATGTTTCATAACTTGTCTACAGCAGAAATTAGGACATGGCATAAATTTTATCAGCTGGTCTAAGAACTGACAGTCTTGTGTCAGTTGCACCTGTGTAAGTTGTTTTTCTTGGTTCCAAGTTCATAATTGTTGTTGTAGAAGAAATTGTCTGTCATATTTCCTAGTTCAAATTATAATCAGGTCTTCTTTAGCAGAAGTATTGGGTGTCTTTGGAGTTCCTCTTCATAATATGGTCTGGCTTGTCTTCACCTAAGTGTCATGGTAGTTTTCAAGTGAGAAAACAGGGCAGTCTTTCTGATTGAGCCTAGGAACTAGCTAGGCAGAAGGAAGAGTTACTTGTACTGTTTTTTGTGTTCTAAGTTACATTAGAAGGCAATTAGACATTTGCAATCCCATATGTGGTCATTATTTAGATTTGTTGGTCTTTATTTATCAGGCTGGTACAACTGACAGTGTATTTAAAGGGAAAAAATCTACCTCACTGCTATTTTCTCAATGCATGTTATTTCATACTTAGTAAGAATTCAAAGAAATGGCAGAATAATAGATTTGTATCAGTGTATACTATTAGGGAGCTATTCATCCTTTCAGATCTTAATTCCCTGTATAGCACTCTTGGGCAATAAGACTAGTCTTCATGATGAGAAATCTGACTTTGTGGTGCCAAGAACTTTTATGAGGAGATAATGCTGTATGAAATTTAGCATAGAAAGGATTCCACAATCCTCTCCTGAATCATTTTTATGCATTTCATTAATAGTAGATGTGGAAATTTGAAGCCATTTGACCCTTGCTCTGCACAGGATAACAGAAACACCAAGGTGCCCGGATGGCTTCACTGGCAGCTGGGAGAAGTCACTGATTTTTATTGAGTTCAGCCTCTGTCAAAATAGATAACTAACTTTTCTAACCATATTATGTAACTTTGAATTTTTTTTAGATAGAAGCAGCTATATAATGATATAAAATGGGCCAGAAGGATCAGTTTGCTTGCTGCACCAGCTTGCATCTGAGGGAGGAAGTCATGATGAGGATATGGTTAATGGAGGAGTGTGTGTAATCTTAACTCAGACCTTCCACAAGCTTGAAGATCTGGTCTGCTTTCATAAGCAAAGTTTTACCTTCTATGTGAACTTGTTCCTATGGAAAAGCTTCATGTAATATTTTGGGTTTAGTTGTGTCTTAAAGATGATATATTCTGCTCTGATTGATAGGTATCATGTATGATCATGAATTCATTGTGAAGCTCTTTGGGGCTGTCTGGCCAGTTAAGCAACAATAGCAACAGAGTTAAGAAGGCATTAAAAGCTAATATTGCATGCACTGATTCATCAGCTTTTTTCCATAATTCCCTAAATTCATATTGCAGTACTCTACAAAATATCAGAGGTTAAAACCTATGCTTCTGGTTTAATAGCTTTTGCAATAAGTTTCAAGTCCACGTCAGTTTTGCAGTTGGTTTGTTAACTAAACTGTATCATTCCCTTTCTTATTAGTGAGCATTGAGCTTCCTTCAGATTTCAGGAATCCCCTAGGCCAGGGGGGATTCAGCTATTTTGAGTGTGGAGTAAATTGGGAAAACAGACGTCAAATAAGTTCCCAAAATATTGTGTTTTCCAAATCTGGAAGGAAGATTGTCATGTTGATATCAACACTTCCTTTTTTTGTCATGTGCAAACACTTGTGGATACTGGAGACATTTTCAAAATACATAGGAAATTACTGGTAATGTGACTTTGGGGATAGAGCTTTAAGAGGCTGAAAAGGAGATTAAATGGATTGTGATGAAGTAGTCTTTTTTCCTTAAGAGTCAGAGGCAGGCAAAAAGGGGTAAATTTTGATGCATGAAGGAAATAATGGAGTTGCTTTTCATGAGTGATTGGATAGGTTAGGATGTTTGAGTGTGGAAAAAGGGGCATGTGATGGAACTGGCAAAATCAGGTATGGTGTGGTAAATGGTCAGTTTCCATACAAAACCTATGGGACATTGAATGAAACTGATGGAAGCCAAACAAGAAAAAGGGAGACCTTGTTTACATACAAATTGGAAAATTCTTTTCAAGGTGTCACCATGATCTTTTCTGAAAAATCCCTTCACCAGGATTTTTTCTCCTGAGAAGCTGAGAAGCCTCAGAGAGGAATGAAAACAATAATTATCTGATGGCTGCTTTGGAATGTGGCTTGGACATTGTTTACCAACAGGTCAATGTTTGATTTGTTCCATGTGAATTGTTTTTAATTAATGACCAATCACAGCCAGCTGTGTTGGACTCTCTGAATCAGTCAGGAGTTTTTATTATTTCATTCTTGTCAAGCCTTTTGATGTATCTCTTCTCTTCCTTTAGTATAGTTTTAGTATAGCATTCATTAATACAATATCATAAAATAATAAATCAGCCTTCTGAGAATATGGAATCAAATTCTCATCTCTCACCTCATCCTGGGGGCCCTCACAAACACCACGTCAAGGGGTGTTTAAATTGAATAAATTTAAAATACTGAATAAGGTATTGGAAGAGAGCTCTTTTGGAAGGCTGAATACACAGAAACCCCACCCAGAGGAGGAAGTCCCTATGGCTGAAAAGTATTAGAACTTGAGAGAGCATAAGGGTCACTCATAGGTTCTGTGTGCTATTGTTTCTTGGGAATGAATACTCTGCTGGCTGTGCCAGTGGACAAAGGGATATCTATCACAAGAGTCAAACTTGAAAGAAATTATTTTGAATTATATTTGGATTTTTATTTCTGTAGAAAGCCTTTTTAGGACTGAATCCCTGCATCTAAAAATACCACCTGGGCCAAATTCCCTTTGATATTTGTTTTTCAGCAGGGTGATGTGGAATCTAGAGTACAGGAGTTTGGCAGCCTCTGGTGCTGTTTGGGCAGTCTCTGCATGTTGCTACTGTGAGCCTAATGCCATAATAAGCACCTTTGGAAATCATAAAATCTGTGTCTTCCATTACTCTAGCCACTTTGCTGTTTGAGTGGTTAATATTAAGTAATAAGATATTAAAAGCATTTCAGTTTCTAGAGAGGAAGCCTTTAAAAATTCTTCATTTCAGAAGATGTTAGGTCCTAGGATTCTTTTGCAAATCCCAGAATGTGGCATTCGCATTCTCTGAAAAAATCCCTTTACCCAGGATTTTTCTCCTGGGAAGCTGAGAAGCCTCAGAGAAAAAGGAAAACAATAATTATCTGATTCGCTTCCCCTGTGTTGTGCTCCTTTGGAATGTGTGTGGAGATTGTTTACCCACAGGTGATTGTTTCATTGGTTTCATGTGAGTTGTTTTCACTCAATGGTCAATCAGGGCCAAGCTGTGTCAGGACTCTTTCCAGAGTCAGGAGTTTTCATTATTATCTTTTTAGCATTCAGTAAGTATCCTTTCTGTATTCTTTAGTATAGTTTAGTTTAGTATTCTTTAATATAGCATAGTATCATAAAATAATAAATTAGCCTTCTGAGAACATGGAGTCAGATCCGCCATTCCTCCCTGCCATGGGGCACCCTGCAAATACAATCCCAGAAGACAATGTTCTTCATTGTTAAGCAGCTAAACCATGCTTCAAAACTGGTAATTCTGAAAGCACTGATGTTGTATGTGATCCTTTGCTACAAACTGATAAAATTTTTGAGTCTTAGATGAAAATGGATTTTTTAAACAGGGAGGAAAGTTTGGCTATATAATGTATTTTCTAAGAAGTAATTTTTTTCCTCTTTCTGGAGATTTTTAGAGTCATAAATCTAATAATGTACATTTATAAAATGACAAGGAGATGACTGGCATCAATCTTAATAAATGCCCAAGATTTGTATAGTAGTAAGTTGTTGAAACTGCTGGTGCTAATGGAGTACTGTCTTGAAACTACAGACTTATTATTATAGCAGCAGCTATTCCATGAGGGTAATTAATGTTGCACTATGCCATTTTGTAATTTTCTCCCATTGACTTGCATTTCTTCTCCACAGTCTCCTGTCAGTATTTTACTTTTCCTGACAGATAGTTAATTTGAGAATTTCACAGCTGTACAAATAAACCCAGAGCATCAAGACATGTTCAGTATGCACAGAGCCCACATTTGATTTGGTTTGGCTTAGTTCAGTAAGACCAGTAAAAAAGATTTAAAAATGAGCATAAATAAACTGCGCTAATTGTTGTTACCATTTTTGTTGGCAGGGCACAGTAGTGTGCCCACCATCCTTGGAGCTGCTGATATATTTACA